TAGTGTACACCTCAAAATCTCTCAACGGCAAGGGGCACGGAGGCGGGCGGTTGTCGTCATTGGTGAAAGGACTACGAGAGAGCGTCAGCTCACATCTCCACTCAGCCCTTCCACCACCTTCCACCAATGACGTTGACAACAATAGTCCGCTTCAGCAATCGTGCGCACTCTGACGAGGCTGTGAGGGATTCCTTCCACTATATTCATCCCCAAAACTCATCACTCTCTATAAGTTACGCGTAAAGAGGAGCACATTCACACTCACTTGGTATGGGTGGAGTCATTTATGGGTGTTAAAAGTATACCGTCAAGTAGGGTGCGCTCTTTATGTTGATGAATTTCTCCTTTTGCGGTGGAGGGAAGCGCATCAATGAGAATTGTGCAACTAACTTCATCCAGATGATCACCCACGGAACGTGCCTGTGAGGGCAAAGAGCAACGACGACGTTCAGATCCATGAGGCACCTAGTCATCATTGGCTATTTTCGAGGGCCCTCACATAACTTTGCAAGCGCATCTCAGTAGTTAGTCGGCTGATTAGATGTACTCTCATTTCGTACAAGAAATTAAAAAGAAAACTGGATGAGAAAGAAGTTCAAAAAATGACAGAACGTCAGTAATTTGGCGCCTGCTTTAACAAATCCACCCTAGCGAAACAATTTTTACAGTGAGTGGAACGAGCGGTAAACAATCCTCACATCCAGCCTTATCATAATATCTGATCAATCAATTAAGAAGCAGAGGTGTGGAGGTTATCGATGAAGTTCAATGTGAAAAATTTCGTCAACAGCAAGATGAGTGATCAAAGATATATGGAAAACTTCAAAGATAGAAGCTGCATGACAGGATGTGAGTGAAATAAAATTCTAAATTTCAAGCATATAAGAGCGCTGAGTTTAAATGCAATCCGTGTTCATTCACGACATGCTTCTGTGTAGTTCGAGTGAAGAAAAAAAGCGGTAAAAACATGCCAACTGCCCAAGATAGAACCCCCATTCGATTCCAGTTTGTAGTGCCCACTTACCTCCATCTCCAAACTACGCCCTCATCCGCCCAGCTAGTTCCCCGATAAGAACTCTACGATTGTACAAGAGACGATTTCCATGCTTTTTCACACTGCAGTTTCGTTTTTCACTGGAACGCGGGCCTTGATGGCGGAATCTAGAGGCGGACGTGACTCGAAACAAAAGAGCGTCACTCGAATTGTATTCGATGTACAGCCAGTCTCCCGCATATTTTCATCTTTATACCTGATCCGCGGATCGCCAAGCTGGCATCCTTACTAGTGTATGAAGAACATTCTCTTGCTTAAAGACAGTTCCTGCGCTCTGTCGCGGATGAGAGACTAGCAGGACATGTCCGCCGTTGGGGAAAACGTTTGCAGATTACGACCTCACCCCGGAATTCGTCCCGCCTTCCCTATCCTACATCTTCCTGAATCATCTCTAACTTTCTAGCCACTTCTGGGGATTTTTTCCAGAAATTCCTCTACTTTCTCCCCAGAAAATGTTCGTCATGGAGAAGAGAGAAAGGGAAGCATAGCGCACTTAGAACAGGGAAAACCGAGAAAAGTCAACAACGAAAATATTTCTCTCAAAGGCAGGTAAAGGTCCCGCAACAAAATACGACCCCTCTTTCGGTGGAGATCCCCAATGTACAACGTGCCCTGGACAGCAGACAACCAGGTCGAGAGATCACACTGGTGCAGATGGAGGTCTGTACATTGAGGCTGGAGCCAACTGACGAAGGAGCGGTCAGAGTCAAGCCGCAGGTCCCTTGGCGTTCGTATACACCCAAGGAGTAATAGTTCAACAAGTTCTGGAAAGCATTTTGAGGGTAACGCCTCAAGTTAGCATAGGATTCACTGAGAATGGCTGCAGCAACTTGCTGACCTTCCCCGATTGAGAGTATGGGAGTCTATAGATAAATCTTCTATAGTTCGGTCTCATTTCTGAACTTTCAGAGATTTATTGACATCAGCTAGCTCGTTTATCAAGCAAGTATCTCTTTTTGACCTAAATACTGCTCTTTTATTCGTAACGATACCTGCTTTGATATAGATTTTTTTGAAATAAATGGTCTGCTTTTTTTAGCGGGCTCATGGGATTTGCCAGCTAATGTCACTCACAGCAGGTCGAAAAACGGCTCTTCGCACTTTACATGGGTGTTGGGGGAGGCGAACGGCGAGTGGCAATTGACACTACCCAGATGAGGCGAATGACGTCCATTAATCAGATGAGACGTTTCTTAGCCGAAACCGACACAACGAAGCAGATTCCTCGAGCTGGATGAACTTTAGGAAGCCCTCTGTTAAAAATCAATTCATACTTTCATCCACAAGTTATACTGCTTTGCCCATTGAAATTTGATGTGCTAGGAAAACAGCGGTCAATCGAGCCATCTCCTCATATCAAGGAATGTTCCCCCAGGCCAACTCTGCAAAATGTTCGTGACATTTCTCTTGACAGCTTTTCGTTGGTCTTAGCGCCTACATCCATATCATGCAATGTCAGAGCGGATTCGGACGAGTTGTCAGGTCATGTCCATCAATCTCGTCTACTCAACCGCCTATCACACGACGCTTGCACGATTACAAGCGACAGCTCCGAATCGAAAAGCGACGATCGAACAGGGAGATGAGTGCTTCGTCACCCTCTTACGTCCCGTGGGCCTACGTATGCAATAGGCATGTTTCACAATACTTACAATAGTGAAAAAAACATGGAAAGCTTTGAAAAGGCATTTTCATCAGCCCTAAACTATTAACTCTTTTTTTTAAACAGCAATATAACAGGCATTAGCTGAGAATACAATGTAGTAATGCAACAATATCAATATTTTGGTAGAGTGAAGATGTAGTGGCAGGTGGTTTAGTGGCACTTACCACATGCGAAGTTTAAGGATTTTAAGGATCGGAACATGGATCAGGTCCGCCCGAGTCAGCCAAGCATTCCATGCCTGCGGGGGGCGCTAATTGGTAGCTGACTTGCGTGGGAGGCGGGACACGCCATTGCCTTGTGATCATTTCCTGAAAAATACGACCCCACCCCCTCTAATTCTATCCTCAAATTACGACCCCCCTCCTCCTCTCTATAGGCTACTACCGACTTTCGTAGATTTTCCTTCACCGTCCGCCTAATACGACTTTTTCGCACTTTTTTCCCGGAAAAAACTTTTTTTTTTTTCTATGTTTTGCAGGCGCACCAAAAAATCCTGCTGTCGATGGGGGGGGGGTATACCGCCAATGTGAATTACGGAAAATTTTCTTCAGATTTTGCCTGTAAGCTCCAAATTTTCTCAGTTTTTTCCCCGAAAATCCTTAGTTTCCGTTTCCCAGAATTTTGCTGTCAAGCGGATGGGGGGGGGGTGGGGTGGGGCCATAAGAGGGTCCAGTACGGATATCACAATACGTTCTTCGTCTCAGCAACGGGTTGAGTAATGTAAGCCGGGATACGCGCACCCCCTCCCATTAATTTATCGATTACGTGGTAAAACAAGCGAAATCTAACTAGCAAAAGAACATCTGTTTATCCTCAGACGCAAATACCGATCACCCCTTACCTCCCTGCGCGGTCAAGCTCACCCACCGTTCCTGTTGGTGATCATCAAATGAGGGCGTGCCCCTGTTAAGGCAGGACCAGAAACACTGACTTTTCGATCACAGCAATTACCTATCGATAGTGGTGGATAATCTTGCTTTGTTGTTCAAAGAAGGCAGTCAGAGGGCGAGAGCGGAAAATGCGATCTGCGAGCGCTTGAAATCCTGTTTGCTCAACGCCATTCGCACCGAGATATAATGAGGCGTTCAGGGTTCGTTCACACCCTGGCGTTGGCTAATTGGCCCGTCGTTCGGTTACCTTGGAGGACGTGCAAAGGTGACAGGGAGTCAATAAGTTGACGCATCACACCTGCAGTATCTGGAGGGTAAAGTATTGCCCAGGCTAATGAAACCTTTAATTCTAATCTAAGGCTCACCCATGGGGATTCTCGAACGCCAGACACCTTATCTTTTGAGACCCCAACTGAATCCTTCTCGAGTAGATTCTGGCAGTTCCTGATGAGGCATGCTGATGACAGCGTACAGCATCGTTGTGAGCAGATCACATCATCTCTGTAGGTTTCAAAAGGGGGGTCGTAACTGGTCGCTTGGGGGAGGGGTGGGGTCAGATGCGGTCTGAGAAGATTTTTTGACAACTGATTTTTCTTGTTTTATGGAGGCTTAAAGGTGGGCGGAAGGGTCGCATCCGCTCGTTGTTGAGAAAGGGGGATGTCGTATTTGCCTTCTAACCTTCCGATAGAAGTTGTTTTCGCTTTTTCGTGGCTTTTTCTGTTCTAAATGTGCTATCATATACCTCCCCGCTCGATAAGGACGGAGCTGGGGAGATCGTATGGAAGCCACCTATGCGGGGGTGGGTCGTACGGGGTAGGCTCGACCTAAATCCCCAACTCATGATCTGCCCTGGTAGCGAGAATTCAATTGGGAAGCCGTACTTGCTGCTCTAGACGGAAGCGAGTCTAGAATTCGGCTATGAGAAACAGTAGGCCTTGCCGGGAGCATTTTCCTGTTGTTGACTTTTCGCAAATGGTAAGATGGTAGGTAGGTTGAGGAAAGGGGATGTATCGACGTCGCCAGTTCATCCATCCCGATGCTGTACCCTGGCTGATGAACAGGTACCGGTGCTACCACTCCAGTCCCACTCACATTTCCGTTTTCAAATATTATCAAGATAAGATGCTAGAGTGCCTTCAGTGGCAAGGGCTTGCCCTACAGCCAGGGCACTCCAT